GGCATCAATTTAGATTTTCTTAATTCAGAAACCTATCCTTTCGCATAAATGCAACCAAACCAAATCTCCAGGTTCAAGAATCAATTCCCTTCTACCTTTATCTCCAGCAAATTTGTACTTAGCATTCATGCGCTCTATGTTTTCTTTAGTGGTTTCATGTAGTTTTAGCATCAATTCAAAGACGTTGCTTAGCATCAAAATTCAACTTTTCAGAACTTGGCAATGGCATTAAATCAATAGGAGCACGTGGTAACAAGCCATAAACAATCTCAAAGGGACACATCTTCGTAGTAGAATGCAATGAACGATTATAAGCAAACTCAATATGAGGCAAACAATCTTCCCACATCTTAATATTCTTCTTTAAAACAGTCCTTAACATAGTAGACAAAGTTCTATTCACAACTTCAGTTTGACCATCAGTTTGGGGGTGACAAGTGGTGGAAAATAAAAGCTTAGTCCCCAATTTGGCCCATAAAGTTCTCCAAAAATGGCTAAGAAATTTAGCATCACGATCGAAACAATTGTATTTGGCACACCATGCAAGTTTAACAACTTCTCGAAAGAACAAATCAGCAATATTTGTAGCATCATCAGTTTTATGACATGGTATGAAATGTGCCATTTTAGAGAATCGATCCACAACCACAAAAACACTATCTCTCGCCCTTTCCTAGTCCGTGGCAATCCCAACACAAAATCCATAGAAATATCCTCCCAAGGAGCACTAGGAACAGGAAGAGGCATATACAAACCGTGTGGATTCAACGGGACTTAGCCTTTTGACATGTTGTGCAGTGAGCAACAAATCTCTCCACGTCTCGTCGCATCTTTGGCCAAAAGAAATGACCAGCAAGAATGTCCTCCGTCTTCTTCGCTCCAAAATGCCCCATCAAGCCACCTCCATGCGCTTCTCGCAAAGCAACAATGTTTAACGGAGCTATTTGGAATACATAGCTTGTTAGCTCTAAACACAAACCCATCATTGAGGATGAATTTGTTCCACGTTTTCCCATCTTTACAATGCAGCAAACACTTCTTTAAAATCAGCATCATGAGCATATCGGTCTTTAATTGTTTCTAACCCAAAGATCTTGTAATCAAGTTGATTCAAAGAAAGTATATCTCCTAGACAATGCATCGCAATGATATTATCCTTCCCTTTCTTGTGTTTGATAACATAAGGAAAAGATTCAATAAATTCAACCCATTTTGCATGTCTACGATTAGGTTTTCCTTGACTACGAATATGCTTCAAAGATTCATGATCGGAATGTATAACAAATTCTTTGGGCCACAAATAATGCTGCCATGTTTCTAATGTCCGCACTAGAGCATATAATTCCTTATCATATGTAGAATAATTAAGAATAGGCCCGCTCAATTTCTCACTAAAGTATGCAACAGGTTTTCCTTCTTGTAACAAAACACCACCCAATCCAATTCCACTCGCATCACATTCAAGCTCGAAAGTCTTATTAAAATCGGGGAGTTGGAGTAGAGGTGCATGTGTTAACTTATCTTTCAAAGACATGAAAGGCGTGCTCTTGTGCTTTGCCCCAAGAAAAGGGCACTCCCTTCTTTGTAAGCTCATTCAATGGTGCAAACAATGGTGCTGAAGTCCTTCACAAAGCGGCGATAGAAACCAGCAAGTCCTAGGAAACTCCGCACTTGTGTGACCGCTGTGGGTACAGCCATCCTTGTATAGCTTCCACCTTGGCTTTATCAACCTCAATCCCCGTGGAGTGACAACATAGCCAAGAAGCGATACTCGATCGGTGCAGAAAGTGCACTTCTCAAGGTTACCAAACAAACGTGCATCACGTAGAGCATTGAAAACAGCACGTAAGTGATCAAGGTGTTCATCCATGGATTTGCTATAAATCAGTATATCATCAAAGTAGACGACAACAAATTTCCCAATGAAAGCACGCAAAACCTCGTTCATTAATCTCATGAAAGTACTAGGTGCATTAGTTAACCCAAAATGCATGACTAACCACTCATATAGACCGAACTTGGTTTTGAAAGCAGTTTTCCATTCATCTCCCAATTTCATACGAATCTGGTGGTACCCACTACGCAAATCAACCTTTGAAAACACAACAGCACCACTCAATTCATCAAGCATATCATCTAATCGTGGAATAGGGTGTCGATATCGAATGGTGATATTATTAATAGCCCTACAATCAACACACATGCGCCATGTTCCATCTTTCTTAGGCACTAAAATCACTGGAACAGCACAAGGACTAAGAGACTCACGCACATAACCTTTGTCTACTTGTTCTTGCTTATTCCTCGATTGCTTGCAGGAATTACCCTAGTGGTTTGGTTGATCGCGCTCCACAAGATCGCGGCAGCTGTTGGAGGTGGTGTATCGGTTGCTAAGGCGCAGCTTGGAAGGCTGTAGTCGGGCCGTGAACGTCATCTCCACCCATCAATCGAGTTATCCCACACCTCTCATCGAAAGATCAGAAACAAACCCTAGCGGGATCATATCATAAGTCACCTGACTTATGGAAACCAAACAAGCCCTGAAAATTCTAATGCACTTGCAATGGCCAATCTTGGCAAGATAAGAAGAGCCAAATAAGTAAATAGGCATTTTTTTCTGGCGAAGACGAGAGGTGGAGGACGTGTGGGAAGAGGAAGATATTTTGAGCCGCGGAAGGGAATGTGTGGCTGAGGTTTTTCGCGCGACGTGGATGCATGTGGGAATTCCGAGCGACGTGGCCTGGTCCCCTGCCGCGAGCAACCTTGCGTTTGTAGAGGAGAAATCTCTCGGTTGCTTGCATGCATCCTCCTCCACCTTCTCTTTGTCAATTTGGTGTTTCCCAGTGGAGAAGATAGCGACTGAATTTGTGCTCTTCATTTCTTTACCCTTTTAGCTCCAATTGTTTCAGCCAAAATTGAAGTGTTGATTTGAAATATATTCTAGTTTGATATTCACTTTGACGCTTGTGTGAGTTGGGGTTCAAATCGAGTTCAATTGTTTTTTTTTTGAGCTCAACTGCTTAGTTGCTAATGGCTAATCCTGGCGGCTCTCTATCTCCCTGATGATATTCACTTTGACGCTTGTGTGAGTTGGGGTTCAAATTGAGCTCAACTGCTTAGTTACTAATAGCTATCCTGGCGGCTCCCTATCTCCCTGATGAAATGAATTAAGATAGGCTCTCTTTATGTTGAAATTAGCACGGTATCTTCAGAATAGTTGCATTCTGTCATTCTTTTAACCAAACAGCATCTTCTAAGGGAGTTAAATTTCTTTGAATTCTAGGGGCTTTCCTTGTGCACAGGGAATTCCAAGCGGAATACGTTTTGTAAGTGTAAAAAATTCAAATCAGACAAACAGGGCCTGAGATGTGAAGTGTACACATGACATGTCCCTAGTTTTCAAGCCCACTTTTCCACGTGAGCTATGACAAGCTGCAACCATCTCTCTCTTGCTCGAAGCTTTTCGCACCGCTAGAGATGGCCTCGCCGCCGGAGCTCACCTTGCTCGCCTCCACGCATGGATATGTTGGTTGCAGAGCGTCAGAGCGAGCTCAGGCTACCACCATCGTCATCCTCGAGCACCACCCGTTGTCGCCGGTGATCTGGACCAAGGTAGTGATCCCAGTGCGGTCCCCCTTGGCGATGGATTAGCTTAGTTCGGCTATGTGGCATCAGCTATCTGCCGTGGAGCTTGAGGGCCTTGTTGCGCTAGTGTACAACCATTTGAGCGCGCTGGACGATGTGAATCTCGCCTCGCGCTCCTCGTTGCTCTAGTGTACACGCGCACTCTGCCACCGTGTTCCTGGCAACCTGGCAGCACGTTTCGCATGACGCGCAAGAGTTTCGTGGCCTGTCGATCCGGGGCGCGAAGCTGACATGTGATAGCAGAAAGGATACATAGGAAATCGATGTGGAGAGAAAAGCAACGTTCACGCAACTCAACCACTCAAAACGAGCCGAAGGGCCAAAGTTAGACAGTGCTGACAAGTGTGCCCACCTACGAGATTTCTAATTATTTGAATTCAAGATTAGGTAACCCAACAAATTGTGGAGGGCCCAGAAACGGTAGCTCCCCTTACGGAAGCAACGAAATGCGGAATAACGCAGGTCACTCAAGGAAAATGTCTACGACGGGAACATTTCAAGCATTGCACCAGAAAAGTAACAATCTGTCATACAATTTCACAATATCCTCAAGGACAAGGTGTTGGGTGAAAACAGTTCGCGAGTCAGGACACTGAGAATGCGAATAAGATACGCTGTCAACTCCCCCAACAGGAAGCCTTCGTCTGAAAGCATCCAGTACAATACTGGGTACAAAACCCTACGAATTTAAGAGTAAACCTGGATAAGCTGGTAAATGAAAACCATAATACAAGCACGCTGAATCTTCCAGCCCAACAATCCTAGACACAATCCAAATAAATCTAAATCCTAGTACAATGAACATGTCTTAACATGACATTAGCGACAAAATCAGACACTCAATACTCAGCCTAGTCCAAAAGCACATCACACTCACAAAGCAACTTGTTGAAAACTGAGCAACTTCAATCTGTAACCTCGGCACAAACCATGTTACCTCAAAACAAACTGCACCATGGACTTCGAAGGAAATGAAAAATTAGCCTGATCAGCTGTCAGATGGACCAATAAAAGGTGTCAAGCATGGGCTGGTGTTATTGCTATATCCATTGCCCCCCAGCAGTAGCATCACAGATGCGGCAGAGCAAAATCCAGCTGATAGGCTTCAGCACAACTCAACAGGCAAGAGATGGCAATAAATCCATGTGTAACAAGACTGGAGATGAATGCTACAAGTAGCTGATGGTTCAGTCAAATGTCAGTAATAAACTTCATCAGGACATAAATAAGATTATAATAGTTGGAACTAAAATAAATTGATGGTTTTGTTTATTTATTTTTCTGAGAATAGGACAAGACAACTTGTGGTTATGGCTATCTAAAGTTGCATGTCCAGCCAAGGTTCGAAAGGATAATTAAGGCACACTCACACTTTTCAGCTCCCATGTACTGATGTACCCAAATACAAACCTACACAGTAAAGTACAAAGGAAAAAGAGAAGGCAGAGATAAAAAAAGCGTCTAGGAAGGCAACAAAATATTTTGTTAACGTTACAAAAATACATGGCTACAATTCGCACATCCAGACAAAAGAAGTTACTACTCACACCATCCCAAACCAGGACATACCATCCACATGAAGCAAACCACATGGTTAAAGTGCTGCACCTTTTCCAGAGAATAATATGTGCAACTACCCCAAAACCCGCACATTGATTATGCAAAAAGGAAAGAAACGACAAGTGGTACTGCAGAAATGTAGATATTAAAGAAAATATTTCAGAATATATGGGACTAAATAACTATAACACTAATGATTGTTAAGCCCGAAGCACTATGTCAAAAGTAAGAATAGGAGCAATGGAGAACATGACAAGGGGCAGTAATTACTGACAATCTTGGTAGCAAACGGAAAGACTAATGGACCTCTCCATCTTCTCCAAGTTCACCATCTTCTAGCTCATGTCCATTTCTTCTGCTACTATCTCGGTCCTTTTTATGTCTTTTGTGCCGGTTTTCACTATCCGAGTCTGAACCATGTGCATGCTGCATGATCAACAATAATGATCTTATTACACACTTTAACCATAATCGAATACCATGACAATGATTCAGGTGATTGAAGAATATTTCAGAAATTAAGCAACAGAACAGAAGAGTTAACATATTAATTGCAGCTATTGTCAACGTTTTGGTTAAGTTTGATGGATTACAAAAAGATTAGGTTGTATTCAGATTGATTATGATGCTGTCATTCTAGTAGGGAAACAAATCCGAGAGCAAGGACAATTTTTCTTTTGAAGCTAGCCATACTACAGTTATATAACTTTCCTTTGTTTCTTTTTTAAATTCATACTTTGCAACAAGGAGGTGTTAGTCCTCAATGGAAAAGCTGATTCAAAGGATTGTCAGCATTGCACATTTGTGCCAAGGCTGTAAATATCCAAAAATCACAAGACTGGTATGATTATGTGAGCTTTCTTTGTAAGTCGTAAGCTCTACAAAGTCCGATCACAAATTTGAAATATTGATGGCCAAAGTTAAAAAAGGTTTTAACTTATACCCTGCGACAACTATTCAAAGCCGTGGAAAAATTTCGGATTGTTCTACAACCAGTTTCCCGCTCAAACAATTTAAGGCCATGGAAAAAGACAACCCAGCTAATAAAGACAAGATGACCTAGCTGGCTGATTTTGTGGCTTATCCAACCAATTACACATGAACATGTTATTCCCTCCATTCCAAATTATAAGAAGTTTTGGGTCTTCTAGATACATAACTTTTGTTATGCACTTAGATATACAGTCTAGATAAAAGCAATGTGTCTAGAAAAGCCTAAATGTCTTATAATTTGGAATGGAGGGAGTAGTCTATTAAAAGTAGGGGACCTAGTACGACGTATAGTAAACATTTATAGAATACAGAATAGTATGACTAAAGCAATAAACATTTTGTGGGGGAGATGGAATAATGCCTACTGTTTCTTAGGAAAAAAAATTCTAACAGACATCTAACAGCAAATTTACCTTCTTGTAGGTATTTTAGTTTATTCTAATAAACAAAATTAGGAATAACTACTGCATCACAAAAAAAAGTCCTGGTGGTTTTACAGCTGAACATCACAAGAACAAGGTAAACATGTTTGAAGCCGAATAACACAAACAGGAAACAGAAAATAACTACAGTTAAGTGAACTTGAAAGGAAATTGTCTTCAAACAGTAGCATCAAGCTCGCTCTGCTGACATACTGATGCCAAACACATTTGGTTACAGTTGCTAAATCTGTTGATTTTGTATGGACTTTAGCACCACATGAAGTATGAACGAATAACACCAAATCAGAGTCACAACATCCCCAATGCTTAGCTTGATTTGCACAGAATAGCAAATTTTATACCTTCCTAGATTTCTTGCGATCACTGCTATGCCTCCGAGACTTCTTAGCATCATCTTTATCATCCCTTTCAGAGCTTACATCATCTGTGTCATGGTGGCGTCTCTTATGTTTCTTTTCTTTATCTTTATCTCTTTTCTTATCTTTTGTACCATGGGTGTCCAAATCAGCACCATCAAGCTCCATTTCATCTCTCCTTGATCGATCCTTCCCTTTTTCCTTTTCTCTCTCCTTCTCCCGGTGGTCTCTTTCTTTTTCTTTGCGTTCTTTGTCCTTCCTTTCTTTCTCTTTCTCTTTCTTCTTCTCTTTCTCCTCACGTTCTTTCTCTCTTTTTGCCTAATATAAGAGTAAAAAATTACAGGGGGGAAATGAGAAATGAAAAGAAACATCTCACAGAAACTATCTGGTTAGTTCAGTTGGTTCCCATAAAAACATTAACCATATTTGAAATCTTGGCATTGTGCTGTCTCAAACCAGATCAAAGCACAAATGCTTAGTTTGGCTTAATCTTAACACATACAAAATCATATTCCCTCTATTCCGAATTATAAGTCGTTCTGGTTTGTCTAGATACATAGTTTTTATTATGTATCTAGATATAGTATTAGGTGCATAGATAAAGCTATGCACCTAGAAAAGCCAAAAAGACATAATTTGGAACGAAGGGAGTAATATATAGATGTGAATCACAACTTATTAATTAAAATAAAAAAGGTAGCTTAAAATACTAGTGCTTTTGAATTTAATATTATCAAGGACTGGATGTACATGATAGCTACAAACATGTTGAGTATAGGTTAAAAGGCTTGGAAGCCATAATAATCCTGCATTTCAGCTCATCGGTTATACAGGTCTCCAAAGCTGAAACAGAACTGAACCAAAAGAGCCAATCAGCAAAGAAATCGGCTACGCTCAGGTAGGTTGGATCACACTTCTTTTTCCACCTCTGGTAAGCAACACAAGTAATAAACACATGGTATCTACCATTCCCACTAAGTACCAATTGTGCATGCGAAGCTATGAAATAACACAAAATACAAAACAGCATATAAACTCTCTTAACAAGCTATGAAGACTGCAGACAGATGATATGAGACAACAATACAACCATTTACCTTTTCTTCCTCCCTCAAACGTTCTTTCTCTTTTAACCTTTCTTTCAGGTGGACAACACACTCTTCAAAAAGCTCTCTAGCATAAGTCTCACTGTCCAAGGCCCTAATGCAACAAAGCCAACATAAGAATCACTCACTCGATAAAAACAATAAGTAGGAAAATATGATACGAGTCCCTATCATACAGCAGTTCAAACATCCATGACACAGTTCATCACCTCCGAGGCTTAAATCCACATTTTGCATGACATATTTCTATACAAAATTATTTGTAGTCCAACACAATCATTGTTCAGTTTCAATTAAATGAATCATGTACTATACTGGACACACTAATCTTTATTTAAATGAGGACCCAAAATAGTCAAAAAAAAATGGAACCCTTTTTGTTCAGAGAATCCAATACCACGATATTAAAGAATTGGAGCATACTCATTTTTATTTGGGCCTGGAGAATAATTTCTTTTCCAGAAGTAACAACTGATATACTCAACTAATTTGACTGTTACCACTACTGCTATATTCTGTGTACTATATTCAGCGAACAGGCAGGACTAGTAAACCGTTTTTGTTTTCCAACCCACAATGGCAGTACATCAACTAGTCGGGCACATGCATGTAGTGTGGTAAACTGTTCTTAAATGATTAAAAGGATGATTGACATTTGCCATTACCTGAACTCTTGGCTATCCTCGAAAAGCTGTTTAGAATCATCCCAGGTTGAAGAAGCTGATATTTCCTACAATGTTTCAAAGAAACACAAATAAATCACATCAAAAGCATGGCATATCCTGATATCCAGATTAATAGTCTGGCAAATTATGTCACCATATCCATCGAACACAGAACACTGGACTAAATATGCATGCAGTTGCAAGGGATCCCAGAATGGATTCAGATTTGCACTGGAAATCAAAGATTTTGCAATCCAAATATGGTATGCTTGGACAGTGTCACAGAGATGGTATGGTTTCTGTACTATCAATGAAGAGTCTATTGATGAATATTCAATATGCCCAGAGCAAATAAACTTCAACAAAATGCAGGTCGTAAATGCGAATCTAAAACAGCCGAAAACCATTTTCCCTGGTTTAGGCAAACTCCAGTACCAAAACATCTCAGAGTAGGACTGATACTGAGAAAAATACCAAGAGTCAAGTAGCTGATGCAAAATCAGTTACCAAATAATAAAGCCATTCAAGTGATGCTACAGGAAAGAAGTACCTATAAGATTTGCATTTTCAAAGTACCAACACATTTGGCGCAGGTTTAATAATTCTGTGTTATTTTTGCATTCAACAAATTCAGATAGCATTTACTACAACAACAACAACAACAACAAAGCCTTTAAGTCCCAAACAAGTTGGGGTAGGCTAGAGTTGAAACCCAACAGAAACAATCAAGGTTCAGGCACGTGAATAGCTGTCTTCCAAGCATTCCTATCTAAGGCTAAGTCTTTGGGTATATTCCATCCTTTCAAGTCTCCTTTTATTGCCTCTACCCAAGTCAACTTCGGTCTTCCTCTGCCTCTCTTCACGTTACTATCCTGACTTAGGATTCCACTACGCACCGGTGCATCTGAAGGTCTCCGTTGCACATGTCCAAACCATCTCAACCGGTGTTGGACAAGCTTTTCTTCAATTGGCGCTACCCCTAATCTCTCACGTATATCATCGTTCCGAACTCGATCCCTTCTTGTATGCCCGCAAATCCAACGCAACATACGCATTTCCGCGACACTTAGTCGTTGAATATGTCGTCTTTTCAGAGGCCAACATTCTCGCACCATACAACATAGCAGGTCTAATCGCCGTCCTATAAAACTTGCCTTTTAGCTTCTGTGGTACCCTTTTGTCACATAGGACACCAGACGCTTGCCGCCACTTCATCCACCCTGCTTTGATTCTATGGCTAACATCTTCATCAATATCTCCGTCCCTCTGTAGCATTGATCCTAAATATCGAATCAGATAGCATTTACTAGTTCAAATAAATCCACTTACTATATATCAACAAGTTATGGATTATATCATACTCCGTATAAAGAAGCACATCAAGTTAAGCTGATAAGTAGCAAGTCATAGCCATTCTTCCTGATATTTTACCACCGTGGTTTCCCTTAAGAGCAACCACAATGTATTTCGACTACTTAGTCCACATGGGTGGGACCTGTGTCAGCCACAATGTTCAAGTCTATATGGACTGTAACACAAAAAAAAAAATCATATGTATCCCAACCGTGAACCGTCCACCCTCAGCCCATCCTCTCTCTCTCTTCGCTGCTACTCGGCGGTCAGCACACATCGGAAAACCGCCGCCCACTCCCTCCCTTCGCACTGCCATACTCGAGCCAAAATCTGATCAGATTGGAGGCAAAGGCCAGTGGCGGATACGCACTCACGGGAGGCACAGACGGTACGCATGGGGCGCCATGCAGCCACTGAATCGGTTTTCTTCTTCCCGGATCTGATTTGGGCTGCTTCTTTCTCATGTCCGGCGTGTAGATGGCGACCTCTCGGGCCGCGCGTATGGTCGGGGCGGGGTGACCTCATGGGCCGTGCAGATAGCTATGGCGGCGAACTCGTGGGCAGCACGGATGGCCATGGCGGCGTCGGCGCGAGTGGCGCGGATGGCTGCGGCGGCCTCGCTGGTGGTGCGGATGGCCGGACACCCGGCATCGAGGGCGGCGCACATGGCTTGGGTGACGTCCTTGCCGGTGACACGGAGGGCCGGGACGGCGTCGTCGCGGGCGGCGCAGGCAGCCGGCGGGAGCAGCAACAACAAGAACCCAGGCAGAGAGATGGAGAAATATTTTTTATTGCTTATGGGCGGTCCGTAGCCTTATTGACGATTCAGGCAGTCTGTATGGAATAATTTAGTCCCTATGGACTGCTTTTGGAGCACGTTGTGGTTTCTCTAAAGGGCATATGGCATGTTTGAATTTGAATCCATTGCCTAAACCTGCCCAGCAAGGTAAGGGTGGAGGTGCCGAGGTGGATTCAAGTTTGGTTCTCTTACCTTGCCTTCCTTTTGGGGAAGGTGAGCAAGGATTCTCTTCCTTTTGCATTTGGCACTCATCCACATTAAAAAAAATCATTGCACAACCTTTACACTAGCAGTACTAGGCACCATGGGTGATGAACCACGATACCCATACTAATTATTGCCAATTACACAAATGCACATTAATGCTACATGCAACTTGCACTTAGAAATTATAAGCTGGTGATCCTTATGAGAAGTGTCATTGGATGCTAAGACCCCAGGAATGCTGTCCAACTATACTTTTTTGTCGTGAAAACCCTTGTTACCATGCATAGCAAGACCAAGCAAATGTAAGCAATGGCAAAGAAATAATGTAACATGCTTACTGCAATACCTTGATTGAATACAGAAGATCTGAAAAATTTTCACCCAACCGCTGGCGCTTCTTAGCCTCTTTTTGCTCTTTTTCCCTGAGCCTTTCAAGCTGATCATCATAGATAAGCTGCAACCAATCCAGCAAAGTAAAACAACAATCTGGAAAAAATGGAACACATTGATAACATCATTTAGATATAAATCGAAACTGGCAGTCAATATGACACCTTGACGTTGATGGTTGATATTCCTTTAAGAGCATCATCCTCCAAAATAGCAGTTTGGAATTCCTCTAATGTCCACGAAGTTGTCATAGGAATCTGGAAGAAGAGGGATGCAAATCATAAATACGGCAACTTTATGGTGTGTACACATAATACATGGTAAATCAATGTGTACTATTTTCTGCAAGAAGCAAAATGTAGATCACGATTATACACAAAAACCATACCTTTCCAGATTTCACCACTTCTTTGATTTGGGTCTTGTCTTCTTGATACTGTACAACAAGAGTGTACCAGGAAACCATAAGCATCACAAATATAAAGATAGCTTTTCAAATGGACTCATTAAAACAGATCTGCCATGTTCATCATATGCTCACAGTACCCCTTTTTCTTTTAAACAAGTTAATGTGTACATGATTCTTATGGAACTTTGAACATTTGCATTTTGCAACATCATGGATTCATCATATGTTTTAATTGAAGGTGATTTCGGACCCCTGGTCACCAGTCAATTTCCCTACTTGAAAAAAGCATTGGTTACTGCTAGATTCCTAATATAACGGTGCGCTATCTATCAATCAAGGCACGTCTATTTCAAATACCCTTCCCCTTTTTCTCTTGTCCTCCATATCTGATGTGATGGATTAAGGAGCCATGGGCCAGCATGTCAATGGACCAGCCTTGCATCACATATCGAAAAAGAGATAAGATTACTTGAGTTGTTATTAGACCTTACATGTAGGATTAAGCTAGTTAATTAGATTAGCATGTTTGATTCGGTTGTTAGGAGTCAGACGGCTTTGTGTGTTGGGGCGAATGGCATGTATCTGAAGCAAGAACCAATAATCTAATTCCCCTTCTATATCTATCCCTCTCATCTGTGATTTCAGCGTTAGCAGCCAACCTCACCCAGCCATCAACGGATCGACCCCATCACAGACTTGGAATATGATATCTCCACAACCTTTTTGCCACTCTTTCCATTCACATCCTCACAAATTCAACAAGGCGATTTATCGCTGGTTAAGCTCAGGTACAGCAACAGCTAGACAACACAACTACTCCTTGAACGCTAATTCAGATTGTGAAAATATCAGCTAAATTAACATCAACCTTGCAATCATTGAAAGTACTGACTGAGCACCCTAAAGGTAGATGCACAACAATTCAATATACAAGTCCATTTGACTACATCACTAAGATGATCTCACACATATGATGACAGCTCTGAAATATTTTTCCACTACTATACCAACTGTACTTATTAAGGGTTTCCTTGATAGGTAGAAAAGATCAGATAGTATGTGTTCATTCTAAGAGAACTTTTGTTTTACCATTACTAGTTACCAAAGCTTAGTGTATCCCAGGAATAACACAGGTAGAATGATGTTAATAAGTAATACACGTGCAACAACTCCTTATCCAAGTGAATGAGTCCATAATAATAATTAGGGACAATGCAAAAAGTTTAGGTGCTTTCAACCAAAGTTCACAAGTCTATGTTCGATTGTAGAAAAGATCATACAAATGAAAAAAATAAAAGAAAAAAGAAAAGCAATAGTATAACACTCCCTAAAACATTGGATGAACTATTACAAGGATATATCCAGAATTTCTGAAAATAACCTGTTTGTCAAGTTCCTCGATCACGTCATCAAATAGCTCTTTCGGTGTGGAGCCAGATGTGTTTGAGGCTACAGCCAAGTAAGACTCTGAATCTTTTATCTGTGAATTGATAAAATGTAAAGAATCAGGAAAAGCATTTTTTAACACTCTCTCTCTGAAAATAAATATTTCAAGAACCTGTGCACAGTAATCACGCCACCGAGTTCTTGCGTTAAGTGTACCATCAGCGACATGTTCTTCCAACATTTTACGGAACCCATCACGGTTTTTCCTCTCTTGTCTTCTCACTTGATCCTGTATGTGAACGTTAGCTTAATTTTCATCTATAGGTTGGAAAAAATAATACAGCTAGATTCTTGACGAGGAATAAAAATGTAGTACCTTTTGTATCCGCTTCTGCTCTTCCTCTTCTTTCTCCAGGTGCCGTATGTACTCCTGCAATATACAAAATGTATAATTGAACATGAACCACAAAACAGTAAAAGTTGACTGAAGGCCAGGAAAATAATTACTTGAAAAATATCCAAGCGATCGATCTTCTCAAGTCGCGAATAGCGTTCATCATCTTCCAGACGTTCCTGAACTTTTCTCCACTGAGTAGTTGCCTGCAATAATGAAAAAAAATTATTCATTTGTAGAGCTTCTGTATAAACAGATTGACTATATGAGAAATCAAAGAAATAACCTTGATGAAGTCACATGATTCTAGAAAAGCTCTGTATTCTGCTACATATCTTTTGTGTTCTTCAGCAGCCTTGGCTTTTTCCTACAGTATGGTATGTATTAGATCAAGCACAGCATAAAGTACAATGAGTTAAACCGTGTCATCAGTGGTTTATGGTGAACATATGACATTTCTGAAGCTAAAACTCCATTGTCAAAAACTAACAAGGTGCTTGAACACAATCCTAACGCTAGTGCAACTTTGGTTGATATATCCACACCTTGCCACACTTGCCAAATTATGCCTAAGGTGTGAATAACAATTTGCTCTGCCACACCTTAGGCATGTTTGGCACGTGTGAGTCTGATATGTGGGGTATGAAGCTAAAAAGGTGTGTCCAGCCACAAATGTGGCAGCTCGCCACACCTTAGGCAATGCTTGGCACATGTGTGACGACAAAATATGTGCTATTAAGCTAAAAGCAAGCCACAATTATTGGGAACCAAACAACCCACCTAAGAAGCTGTGGCTTCCCTTACCTTGTGAAATTACAAGTTATGGACACCATCGAAATATACCAGAAAAAAATAGCTTCAAGACTAACTGTGATTCCAGAAAAAAATATTTTGGAAGGAAAAATGTAAATTCTCCATTGATAAATTGCAGCGAATTTGTTTTTTTTTTTCAAAAGCGTAGTACTAGGATAGAAGAGAGTGAAGCCACAGAATCAAAAACCAGTATATCAACAAAGAAATATATGAACGTTCAAAGATCAACAGTAAGAACTACCACAGTGAAAGGCGTCACAAGGCAAAAAGTTAAATATCTAATGACCTTCTTATGCAGTTCCACAAGATAGTTCTCAAATAAATCTTCACGCTCCCTTGGACGCTCAACTGCTTTGAACCTTTCATCATCTTCAAACATAAGTATTGCTTTGCTGCACAATGAACCAAAAAAAAAGTGCGTGTGACTCCAACAAGAAAAAGACATCAAAACATCAACACTATCAAACGGAAACTCCAATTATCTGGTGAAATTTTAGAAAAAAAAACAACAGCCAAGCTTGGATGCTATATACAAAGAAAATACTGGAATTGGACGTATACCTCCATCTTGTCAATGATGTGAGCTCCTTGCATTCCTGAATAAAAAAAACAAGGCATTCACTGACACAGTACATATACAGTAATAGAAAGGAGAAAACTTACTATAGTAGAACTAGCTTACTTCCAGCATTGCAAGGAAATCATCACGTGCTTTCCTCTGTTTGACACGTTTTTCTTCGGCTTCGAATTTTTTGCGCTGGTTCAAGTACTGTAGAAATAAAATCATAATACCTGGGCCTCAGTGAAACATTTACTACAAAGATCTGGAGTTGAGGATACTGCTAAGGGTCAGGATCTTATAAGAAACAAACACTGACCTCGTTGAAAGCTTGCTTTCTCTCTCCAAGAGTTTTCAAAGCACCATATCTTTTGTCATTTATGATGACTCTCATAGTCTGAAAATGTTATAACAGTGTTACACATTTCATCGGTTGATGTTAAGTAGAGACGAGTTCCATACCTGATCCCATGTCCAATCAGACTCAACATTTACTGACTCGAGCAGGGACTTGAACGCATTTTTTGCTTCCTACAAATCAAAAATATAAATGAGGTTGCCAAGTCATGAGCAAACATTCCAATTTATAATTTGCTTCTTTCAAGCCATCTCACCATCTTAGTGGCATAGACTACAGGTTCTTCTTCACTTGTTTTCTCCTCCAGTGGAGTGACATTAATCTTCCCTGCAACTGGCATGGTCTTTTTGGCCTCCTACAGAGTAGCATGTTGAAGTGGCGTCAACATTCAGTTACAGAGAGGGAAAACTAAACAGTTAAGTCCACTAGCCACTATTAAAAGAGATAATATAAAAAAAGATAATATAAGTGCGAAAATATGGTTTCATCCACAGAAAAAGGACTGTCCAGTTCAAATCGTTCTAATTTCCATCAAAGTAGAAACTATATAGCTGAGACTATAGATGTCCCCTCCCTCTCTTTCAAATATCCATGATTTTTCTTTTTTGAAATAAAAAGATGGAGAGAATAATTAACTTCAGTATGATACCTAGTTACCAAGAAAAGGAAGCTGAAGTAACTTCTTAGGTAGTTCCTTCCATATACTGAGTAACGGTACTTCACGCTACAGCATCTCTAGTAACCCCTAAACACTAGTAATTCGCTTTCTCTAAAGGCCAACTAATAATAAATAAAACCTGAATGAGTACCAAAAAAGATGCAACTGGATTGATCTGTAAGAAATCTACTAAACCCTGGTGTCCAAAAAAGATCTTACAATTAATGGTAGCAAAATACTATCATCCATCAATCAAAGGAAAACAAATGCAGTGCTAAAAGGCATGTAAAAACAGGCTCCACAAGGATGTTGACAAGGATATTCACATAGAAATTGAAATGGAGCAAAAACTGCGAACTTTATAACAAAAAGGCAACCATAGACAAACTGTTACAATGTGGGGTCACTGACTTGGACAAGATTTAGCAAAGGAATATAAATACATCAATTATGAAGCACTTGCAAATCTTATGAAACAAAACAACATGCGTAAAGCAAATATACCTCCAAATCTTCAGCGGATGTACCATCCTCTGTGTCAGCCCCAGTGGTCAGAGATGAATTTTCATTGTTGTTTCTGCAATGTAACAAATAAACATATTATCAGGCATTTGAACGTCAGGTAGCATATACTACAGGATGAAAAATGGTAAACATGTGTGAAAACCTGCTGGCCCCTGCATCTGTTGCAACTAATGGAACTTCTGTGCTTGTTGCAACAGGAACAACAGCAGTACTTGGACCACCATTTTGCATGCCAACAATTGAACTGGAAGTGTTCTCCACGTTGTGCGACAGGGCAGCACCAGGAGGAACAGAGTTTGATGACCCATCATGTGAGCTGGGAGCAATTATACCAACAGCAGATGAAGACTGATTAGCAGGTATAGTAGAAGGTTCAGAGGCAGCAGATCCAACAAGAGCACTGGCAGCTATTCCTGATTCTCGATCAGGTTGTTGATTTGATGCCTTCTCTGCCAATTCACGTGCAACCTGAGAGAGAGAGAATAATTGCAGCAATAATGTAATTTTCAATTAAACAAATATAGACGGAGAAAAGAAGAGAAAGAAGAAAACCTTTAACTCATCAGGAATAGTCCATTTTGATTGCTTGGTCACTTTGTTGAAATAGTACCTTCAGTGATAGAACAGTCAAAATACGGAAAGAAAATGGAAGATCCATTGACATATTGACATATAAATAAAAAGATCTCAATTGGCAATTAATTCCAGTATAACTTACTTTCGTCCTTCTGGTGTAGTAAATTCTTTCCATTCGGTTGAGGCATCAGCCCTCTGTTAAATTAACAAAACCCATTGAAATACAAATTAATACAGCAAGGACGCATTAAGTACGTTACTTATATTAGAGAATGAACTGCCCTCAAGCAAAAAGAAACAAGAATGATTTGTTGGTCCTTTGCAAGTGCTCAACCAAATTTAAAGAATCAATCTAAATAGATAGAAAGCACAAAATAACGCAAAAGGGCAAAGAGTGTGCATGAATTTATGCACAGAAGCACATTGGGAATTGAACTCTTGAACTTCAGTAGTGAAAGATGATATCAGGCACAAGCATAGGGCTAGCTAAATAGAACAAAATCATATGGCTAAGCTGCATGACTATAAGAAAATAGCACACTAACCTCCAAAGGTGTCATCAACTCAACTGGTTTCTCCCAACTTGATTGCCTTGTCTTCTTATTATAGTAGTACCTAGAAAATGAAAGGGAAAAATTAAAGCAAACCAGATAAAGAGAAAACCAAAACATGAAATACTTAAATTACAAAAGCTTGTAACGAAGTTAATAACGGAAAGGAATTTAAAAAAAAAAATACTAACTTTTTCCCCTCGGCTGCAGTGTGCTCCTGCCAGTCTGAAGAGCTAGGTTCAGACAAGTTGACCTGGTCATTTGCAAACTCAGTTATTCCAAAGTCAACGATATAAAATATTGTATAGTGGACAAAAACAATTGATACAGTAGAGGTTACAAAATTTGACAAAAAACAGGTGATGAAGCATAGGTCTGGCAATACTTACTGAAGGCAAAGTTGTTGGAGCTGACACTGGCTGGTGCCCAGACTGCACTAGAGGAGGCACATGAGGTACATTCTGTCCTGGGCCTGTACCCCAGGGTTGCACTACAGGAGGAATCGATGTTGGTTGATACTGAAATGTCGAAGTTAACAAGTTAGTAGATTAACCTAAGACTAGTAACAGACATCATACGGAAATAATTAACTCGCAAAGAGTGACTAATAGGACTAACTGTATAGGTCGGGGGTTGCATAGGGGCACCCATGCTGGGCAAATGGCCCCCAGGATACGCAGTTTGTTGCTGCCGCTGCATAGGCGCTGATGACATTGGTCTAGCTGGCTGATATACCATGGGAACCCCTTGTGACGCAGGTGGAACTTGATTTGAGTGAGGCAAGTGCTGCCCAGGTTGTGGAAAATGTGGCATTTGCCCAGGCATGCCAATGTTAGCCCCCGGCATAGGCTGACCAACAGGATGAAACTGCTGTGCTGCTGGCGGCATGAACTGAGGAGGCTGCTGCGAAGGAACCACTGGCCTAAACTGAAAGTGGAGCATGAGGAGCAACATTAGAAACATAGCCTAGAATTCTGGAAGCAATGAATGTGGAAAGAAACAAAAAATCTAAAATTCAGTTTACCTGCATAGGCATTGGTGGTCCAAGATTTTGTGGCTGGGCACTAGAACCCATCATGGGAGGCCTGGGAGGCTGCTTGTAAGACAATAAAGATGATTAGCACTATGTACACTACAGATGACATGACAAAATAATATTTACAGCATGTGACAGCACTTACCTGAGGCGGCCCAGGAGCCTGCATATTACTAGCCATCAAGCCACCATCAAAACACCAACAAAGAAGAGTAGGAAGAGCACCTCCAGAGATCACAGCTGTAAACCGTCCAAAGTATGGAAAAACAAAGATTGATTATAGAACATAACACGTGGAGAACAAATAAGCTATTGGATAAGAATAAGAGCTGCAACAGCTAACTTTAAAACTCCCATTGGCACGTGCTCGCTATCTAACAATACGTCCAAAGTACGGAAAACAAAGATTGATTATAGAACATGACACGTGGAGAACAGAGAAGCTATTGGATAAGAGCTGCAACAGCTAACTTAAAAACTCTCATCGCCACATGCTCACTAACAATACGAGGAGTAACGGAAACTCTAGGTGTGTGGCGCTTTGCCTTGCCTAGCCGCCCTTGACTCCCCCCGCGAAAAAGGGTAACAAGCTTCCTTCTTGGTTAAAGGAATCCGACCCCTTCCCATTTTGTCGGCACGCATGTTATGAGCATTGGATCAGATAGAGTCCAACCCAGTTTATTGCTACTACAGACCAGATATAGCTAAAACCAAAAGATCTCCCCACCGTGGGTCTCATATGCACTACGAGAATTCTAGGCATTCCTTAGGAATCAACTCCTCTGCACTAAAACATCCAACTTGTGCCGCCTAATAAATAAATCAAATCAAACTAAAAGTTGCTGGTACAACTTGCGATCCCAATCTTACGCCAGAACGCACCCTAGCAGCTAGAGCGAGAAACCCTAGCAGGCAGTTAGGGTTTGAATGCTCAGTTTCGCACAGCAGCAAGGGAGAGAAGGCGTGGGCATACCTGCTGGGTGGTGCTTGTGCCCGGTGAAGGATCCGACGAAGACCTGGGCACCTAGCGTAGGGTCGGCGGAGGCGGAGGCGGAGCGGTGGTCGCGCAGTCGTCCCCGCGAGAGAGACGCAAGCGGGGTGAACCGAAGAAAAAGGCAGCGTGATTTGTGAACGCAGTCCAGGGCTGTCTAGTTAAGAGATCCGATACAAATTTTGATGGGCCTCGAGCAGGCCGGGCCGCTGCTTTGTAGTTGTACGTACAATCTTATCTGTGTAGGGCTGCACCCAACCCAATTAAAAAGGCTAGGCTTCCGGGAAGGGACGAGTCTATCCACAGTTTCTAGTGTTTTGATTTTGATTGAAAAAAAAAAGAGAAAATATTCACCCCAAATTTAGGTCACCTCCGTCCCTCGAAATCGACGTCTTCATCCATCCCGTGCGCGTCCTTGGCATCTCCGTGCATTAAGCTCGATGCAACATGTCTCTGACAACCGAGCTCGCGATCGCGCCTCTCCTTCAACAATTGAGCTCACAGCCTCGCCTCCTCCATGGCATGGGTGGTACGAGCAGCTACTACTTGAGATCTAGCAAAGTGGCGCACAAATGGTTGTTTCTTGAGCTCATGAGGAGCCGACGGCAGTTGTGGCAGGCATCATCGGTGCACACGGCGGTGCATGAGTCGATTGTGCACGGGGAGGACAAGAGGCGTTGATGTGCGAGGACGAGGCAGGGTCAAGCTGCGCTTGGGCGAGTAGAGGTGGACAATCGGGCACCATCGAGGCAAGGCCAGACGGTCGAGTGGCGTTGGGGCGAGGACGAGCGACCATGCAGGGTTGGCGGGCACGAGCGGCCGTGCGGAGGGGAAGAGGAAGAAGAGGTAGATGAGATTTGTCTCACATGTGAGGCCCACAAAACACAATGGCCGGCGGTGTTAGTCTCCTACACTCCATCCATCCTATTTGACTGCCCAACCAAACCATAAATATTAATGGATCCATCCCTGACCCCTCTCAACCAAACACTAGTTAAGACAGTCCAATCCTCAAAAATGGACATGGAATCATCCCATCCCGCCTCATCTAGGAACCAAACACACGCTTAGCTAGTTTCTAGTTCTTAGTTGTAAACTCATACATGCTATTCAGTGGTGGACTATAGCCCTAATCTTAGCCCTTAATTACAGTGGACAAATTATCATTTTTTTCAATAGCCATGCACAATTAGCATCTATGCCTAATGTAATAGCTCTAATCTTTGGCTAATCTTAGGTCCGCCCCTCATGCTATCTAAAGTTAATATTAACAAAAGCATATAGTATAATAGACTAGTTGCTATGTTAGTTGTTACTAAACTTACTATATATAGGCCTATAATCCGTACTTTTCAGCTTGTTTTTTCAGCCGGAACAGTGTTTTTCTCTCACAACAAATCAGCAAGAACAGTGTTTCGGCTTTTTTTCAGCGAAGCGAACGGGGCCATAGAATATATTAGAATTTAATATGGACTGAGCGGCAGCAAAAGTCAAGGTTGATGGACATGTAGGCAGTAGGTCGATGCTTCATCCATTGCAATGGACCGGCGCGTGTTACCACATCAGGATTCAATGATGAGGAAGGTGGAGGTGCAGAGCATAGGCCTTTAACGTTGGTATAGAACCACGGCGCTGAGTGGGTAGGTCATGGACTGAATTGAAGTCGTGAACGCCCTAAACGGAACTGAAACTTTAGTTCGATTTTGTCGTCACAACTCAAGGGAACACACCTTTAAAAAGAATGCTACACTAAACAATAAAAAATGGACTGAATTTACTAAAAGATATAGTTATACATTTGTGCTATCACAAACAGAGAAAAGGATAGGGTTAGATTAGATATTCTTAACTTCGTGCTACAGTTGACTCATAATTTTGTTGCACATCATCTTAACAAGCAACGAAACAAATAAAAAAATATATGTGATGTATAAGTGGGCTGCAATACTACCTCTGAAAGGATGTCCCACAAATCCAGAAATTCAGCAATCACACCCACTGTTATGGCTCCCTGGATATCATATATCCAACTATGATTGTTGAGAGCATCCTTCACAGTCCTCTTGTTAGCCCTTCTCTTAGGCACAAGTGCAAAATCTTGAGGGGCAAGATCAGCAACACGCAGACCATATATCCATCTATCAGTCCAAAAAAGTGTGAAAGCTCTATCTCCGACCTCTAAGAATATTGCCATGGGGAAGAACACTCATACTGAGTTATGTACTTGAATTGGGGAACTTGTCCACTGGCTGATTAGCTTCTGTTTTTTTGCAACCATAGCCATCTCATACAAAGTGTGTAACATCCTTGAAAATCTCAAACCCAAAAATCACAACTTTTAAAAACTTTTCCCTAAAAGCCCTTGCTTGGTGAGTGATCATGCTTGGAAGCCACCCTAGATGCACAAGTAGAACCCAACTTAGATGTTTGAGCATTGCATTAATTCAAACCTTGAGTTGCTTCTTATTGGATCTTATGTGTTGCTAACAACTCACTAATCAACCCTAGATCAAATTGTTGTTGTGTGTGGGCCCAAGCTCTCGCTTGACCAAGAGACCCCTAAGGTTGACCTAGGTGGACCCCACTTGTCGATAAAAGATGCTCGGTAGTCCTCCGAGGGGTATCCCACAAAGGTAGATTGATCGGCAGAGGTGCGCGTGATCAGGAACTAGATGGTGACACAAGACGCAGAGACAACGATTTAGACAGGTTCGGGCCGTCTAATCGACGTAATACCCTATGTCCTGTGTCTTTGATGTATTGTATTGATTGTGTATCAGATTCGATATATCGTCTACGGGACCCCTGCCTCTCCTTATATACTCTGGATGGGTAGGGTTATAAGAAAAATATCCTATTTGGTATTATCTTATTGTAGCCTTACGGTGCATGTCGATCAGTGTCGTGTGCCGTACGCCTTGATCTCGTGGGTTGGGCCACCTCTGATGGTGCGACCCATGTCTTGTCTTATGGATATCGGGGGTATATCCCCCACAACTAGTCCCCGAGTGCCTTGTATCCTTTGAGCAACGCTATCTTCAACAAGTCCGAGCACTTTGACGTGAAGCCGATTAGTTTAACTGGTGATCCGAGCAGCGGAAGTCGAAACCGGCTAGTTTAACTGGTGACCTGGACGATGAAAATTAAAGCTGACCAGTTTAGCTGGTGACCTGGGCGATGAAAGTCAATGCCGACCAGTTTAATTGGTTAGGAGACCTCGAACTTAGCCAAGTAAGGTTTGCTAGAAGGATGTAAGGGGCTCAAGATAAAATTTGAAAATTCTTCCACTTAGGAGAAGTGTAGCCACTTAGACTCCGTCAATAAGGAGGGTAAATCAAGAAGTAAGCACTACATTCACCGTCAGGTGAAGTGTAGCCACTTAGTCTCCGAGCCTGCTGGAAGATGAAGAATGAATCTTGTGGCAGGGTTAAAGAAAAGAAGGCTGAAAGCTTGCCGATGTCATCTGACATGCGCGTATCAAGACCCCAGATGTGCTGCCCAAGATCAGCACCCTGATCCGAACAGCATGGAGCAACGTGATAGCACACTAATGAGACGTAGCAAGATCCAACCACCAAGGGAGTTCCCAGCTTAGCTGGTGACTCTAATTTAAACATAGCTCCATGGTTGTTTAAAGCTAACAGATGCCCTACCTTAATGAGGCTGGCCAAGCAGTGAACACCAATGTCCTCTACAACTCATTTGTTCAGCTGGTCCCTCACGTGTTCCTCTTGGTGATTCTCCAGATTAATGCAAAAGATCCCCTCAGCCTAAAATTGGAATGCATGAAACTTCAGGGCCTACATGGTTTCACTACTTGAAACATTTGTAAGGGGAAGTAAATTTACCAGGCACTTGCTGGCTGATAGAACAATTCTGAAACAAATGCAAACAACAACAACAATGACAACAAAGCCTTTAAGTCCCAAACAAGTTGGGGTAGGCTAGAGTTGAAACCCAGCAGAAGCCATCAAGGTTCAGGTACGTGAATAATTATTTTCCAAGCACTCCAATCTAAGGCTAAGTCTTTGGATATATTCCATCCTTTCAAGTCTCCTTTTATTGCCTCTACCCAAGTCAATTTTGGTCTTCCTCTGCCTCTCTTCACGTTACAATCCTGGCTTAGGATTCCACTACGCACCGGTGTCTCTGTAGATCTCCGTTGGACATGTCCAAACCATCTCAACCGG